ATATATATATATATATATATATATATATATATATATATATATATTATCCAGAGTTCTTTAGTTGTTACCAGCAGAGGGCTGATCACCTTACCTATTTTGTCATATTTCTGGTCTCAACCAAATCTTTTATTTCACCCTAAATCATGATGCTTTGTATCTCCTCACTGATTGAATCATAAGTCTCAGTACTTTAAGGAAAAGATAAATGGAGTATCAAACCAAGAAGTCATTGTTTAGGGCCCTGAAAATGCATTATGTTTAGATTATAGTGAAGCAACGGTGTAGAAAGCTGAGTAGTTTTGAGAGTCAAGGAAGTTCTATAAAATAACAGAGACAATGGGATTGGCAACTCAAAAGGAGCTCTGGTGGCGTAGTGCCTAAGGCATTTGACTGCTAATCAGAAGACTGGCGGTTCAAACCCACTGGCTACTCCTCAGAAGGAAGATTGGGCAATCTACTTCTGTAGTGATACCGCCTTGGAAACCCAAGAATGGGTCACTATACGTCAGATCTGACTCCATGGCAGTGAGTTTAGTTTTTGTTTGGTTATGGGATTGGCAGCTCTAATTATGTATCTAAGACACAAGTTTGCAGCACTGTGGAGAGCCATTATGGAGCCAAGAGTGGGCAGTGGGGAAAAAAGAGGACACAAGTAATGTCAGCATGAGCTAAGAAAAAAAAAAATCTGAGTTACAATAATTGTAGATTTTTCTTTAGAAGTTTAGGAAAAATAGAGGCTGAAACACAGAGACCAGGTAGGATAACTTAGATTTCAACTGATGGTGAGCAGACATCAGTCAGTTGCCCAGTGCCCAAAGAGGAACATTCAGAGAGGGCTATGAGAATCAAGAAATAGAGGCTGAAACACAGAGACCAGGCAGGATAACTTAGATTTCAACTGATGGTGAGCAGACATCAGTCAGTTGCCCAGTGCCCAAAGAGGAACATTCAGAGAGGGCTATGAGAATCAAGAAGAGCACAAGTACCCACACACAGACCACAGGCCCCTTTCCCACAACTGTGTGGTTTGTTTAACTTTTATCTATACCTGAAAACCATTTTGAGGAGAAGAAAAAGAAGAGGTATATCTTTGAAAAGAAACAACATTCTTATAAGGTGTTTGAAACTTCAGTTTTATTGAATATGTATAAAAAAAAAAAAAACATTGCTAACCCATAAAAAAAGACTGTTTAAATTGGCAGACACCTCTAATTAGAATATCAAGTTTCCCAAGCCCCTGATAGAATGGGGTACACAGGTATGCCTCATAAAGAATTGTTCTTCAGTTATAGGGAAATAGAGAAAAGAAATATAATTGTTGTAAGTTGCACAGATACGGTGCTTACATGTTTTTACCTCATTATACAAGTAAAAATAATTCAGTTAATGAATTTAAACAACAAATTGTAAATTATATTAGGAAACATAAGTTAACTAAGTTATTTTTAACAGTTACTTTTAAATAAATTAACATTTCTGGTGATGGTCTGGGATTTTTTTTTTTTTTTTTTGACAACTTAGAATCTTACAGATCTTAGAATGAATATGGACTAAATTTTCTTTTCATTGTCTCACAGAACAGTAGCTCTTAGCTGGAGTGAGTAAGTCATCGTACCCCAGCAAAACTCTGACCTTCACTTGTAGAGGGAAAGAGCTAAGATACTAACTTAGCTAAAGTCAGAAAATTGACCATGTATTTCAAAATGACTCAGCCTAAAAGTCCTATTATTTTAAAAAATGTTTGAGGAAGAGAAAAAAGTACTTACCAAGCAGGGAACTTAGATAGTTCTCATTCAAATTAAACACAATTCTACTTCACTGAAGACCTGGATCCATCTTATCTGAGGGAACCGTGTTTTGTTCTAGTTCCTTTATTATATAATTGATAGTTTGGCAAAAGAAGATTATTTCATTTCAATGTATAATTACATATAATTAATATTTGACTTGGAACAACTTTCCAAATAAAAAAATGAGATTAGGATATGTGACTTTATACTGTGGGATTCAGAACACTTTGGTCACTGTAGACGTATGTATTAATTTTATTCCAGATTTAATCTTTCAACTTGACTTGTTTATCTAATCGTAATTTACTATATATTTAGGCAATGCAGACAGAGCAAGAAAGGAAATGGACATGGTCCTCATGGCGCTTGCAGTTTATGAAGTGTAGGCTGTAAGTCAAAGGAAGAAACCAGAGAAGAAGGCAGAATTGATGAATGATGGATAAAGAAGGGAGGGAGAAGAAACAGAAAGGTTGATGTCTTAGAAATCAAGGTTATTTGTTGAGCCAGTTCAATCAGTCCTACGGTCAGTATAAGAAAAAAATCAGCCAGGCTTATGGTCTGAGTGGGCCTGGTAATTAAGCCAAAACATTGAATCTAGGAAAACCATCTGTAAGAAACACTGTCCTGAGATCCCAATTCTCTTATTAATTCACTGATAAGAAGCTTCTTGAATAGAATAATAAATAAGAAAAGACTTAAGGAAATGTGGAAAATGGAAATTATTTTAGTGGCTGATTCTGACTTAACAGTACCAAACTATTTGCATCTCATTGGTGACAGCTGCTCTGAGAAATATTTTCATGCTGCGTTCATTTTTAAATGTTGTTGTTGTTATGTGCCGTGGAGTCGGCCCGACTCATAGTGACCCCTCCTTGGGTTTCTGAGGCAGTATCACTGCAGAAGTAGATTGCCCAACATTTCTTCCAAGGAGTGGCTGCTGGGTTTGAACCACCAGCCTTCTGGTTATCAGTCAAGTGCCTTAGGCACTAACTGCTATTCATCCTAAAAGGCAATTGCTAACATTTGTATGAGAAACACTACTTTAGATACCTGAGGATGTAGTATTTTAAAAATATGTTAAAAGCCTTATAAACCCACAAGATTAATTCATTTGGTTTATACTATGACTGTGTTCACTGAAATAATTTCTTAGAATTCAAATTATTTTTTTCACCCCTTAGGGAAAAATTTATAAATTGAGAAGTTGTGCTTCTAAACACTTAAATATAAGGGATAATGAATTTTAATTTTCAGGAATGAAATAGTTGGAAAAAGTGAGTCTGAAGATGCTTAAGATTTTGGAGTGAGCTAATGGATGTTAGGGAGCTCTGATGATGTAGTGCCTAAGGCGTTTGACTGCTAACCAAAAGGCTGGGAGTTCAAATCCACCAGCCACTCCTCGGAAGGAAGATTGGGCAATCTACTTCCATAGTGATACTGCCTCGGAAACCCAAGGAGGGGTTATTTTTTGTTTAATGGATGGTGATTTTCAAATTCCTAAAATCCTCAAAATTTTTAGTAAATTGTATTATTTTAAATTCAATTACACCTATTTGGAAGGACCCACTTGACAGCACATAACAACAACAACAACATGGTAAACAAAAGAAAGATAACGTATATGTTTTATTACTTTGTTGAGATATAATGATAATTATCTGTCAATATGAATGGTTAAGAAGGAATGTGGAAAGCCTGCAGAAAGAAAATTGATGAATTTTAATAGTTTATTAATAACAAATAGATCGAGGAGGGCCAATTTTATGTTGTTGTTGTTGTTGTTTGCCGTCGAGTCGGCCCCGACTCATAGCGACCCCTCCTTGGGTTTCCGAGGCAGTATCACTACGGAAGTAGGATTGCCCAACCTTCCTTCCGAGGAGTGGCTGGTGGGTTTGAACCGCCAGGCTTCTGGTTAGCAGTCAAGTGCCTTAGCCACTATGCTACCAGAGCTCCTTAGATTAATAGAAGATGTTTAAGACAGCACATTTCAGATGTGTTCATCAAAAACATTGCATTCTTGGGATATTGAAAAAAAATCTTAGTGCAGATCCTAATTGGGAGCTCTGGTAGCATAGTACCTAAGGCATTTGACTACTAATCAGAAGTTCTGGCGGTTCAAACCCACCAGCCATTCCTTGGAAGGAAGATGGGGCAATCTATTTCCATAGTGATACTGCCTCGGAAACCCAAGGAGGGGTCACTATGAGTCGGGTCCAACTCGATGGCACATAACAACAACAACAATAATTCTGCTAAATCTATGCACACGGGTTCTACCTTTTTATATTATCTTGCCTTTTCCTTCCATGGTTCAGAAATAAACAAATAGGGAAAATGAAGCTATTTCACACCAAGACGTCCGAGTGAGTGACAGTGATTTTTTAATTAAAAAAAAAAAAAAAAAACCACTATCATCCCCTGTTTCTTCTACCTTTATTTTATTTACTACCTTTGTGTTCCAAACTAGTGTAAAATCGGGTTTTCCCTGAATTGCATAATATTATCTTTGCTAGAAAAGAGTTAAAATATAATACTTTTTTCTTGAAGAAGTTGTGCATCCCTCCCTCTCTACCACTTCTCACGCTAAGTAAAAAGTTCATACACTAGGGAAAGTTTAAATGAAAACACAATGAGCTTCTCCTAATCTTTGATATTTCTTCTCAGTAACCCTAGTATGGGAAAGTAGCCCCATGTTGCTCCAATGTTAGATAATAAATATTTATCTATATAAATATTTTAAAGTTTGCCCTTTATAATGTGAAATCCATACAGGTGAAAGGTCCTCAGTGAAGATCAGGAATAAAATAAAGCTTCATTAATTTAAATTTTGCTTTTTAGCAGTTTGATAAGTTGGCCTCATTGCATGCCACTGTATTAACACATTTGCTAAACAAAATATTACGCTAAAAATATGAGCAAAAAACTGTTAAGCTGAAAAGCATTCTACTCTTCAGATTTTTAAAAATTTATTTATATTGCTTTTCTCCTAATTAAATGCAATTAATGTTGGTTATTTACTCCTCACACAAATTACAGCATCAAAATTAGATGCCATTTTAGAACATTTAATCTTCACAGTCTTTCAGATTTTATTTATAATTTATTTAAAACACATTTTCTTGACTTCCATGATTGTTTAGTGTAATGTAAAATTTTAAATTTTTTCAAGGGGATATAAAATAAAAAATTATGGCATATTTTACTACCTTTTAAGAAAACTATCCCCTTCCATAAGCTGCACACCAAGTATCTTTGGTCTATAGTGGTCTACTGTGTCAGCAGGTCTCCACAACTGATGTGCAGCTTTATCTTTGTCATGTCAGCTGGACACTCCCAGGACACTAGCACCACCTCTATAGTGATTATCTG